CTGTGAACCCCCAAAGTCACAATAATACTCAAATAGGCCCCCGTACATTCCAAAATGACCAAGGAGACGTACCACCCCTTTGGCGAACCACTCTTCTGAAAAAACTCATAAACAAAGAGACATGGGCAAGGATGTTTGTTTATCACACCAAAAACATCTGGAAAAACCTAAATGTCCATCAATAGGAGAATGGATGCAATATTACATACGCACACTGAACACGAATAAACTTGATCTATCGGTATTGATAGAAATATATCTCAGAAATAATGTTGAGTGACAAAAGCAAGCTGCAAAATGAAGCCCACAGTATAATAACACTTGTATTTTTAAAATGTACAAAAAACCTAATAGCAATATATATTGTTTATGATATACGATATACTGTAAAAGTATAAAAATATGGGCACGGATAATGCATAACAATTTCAGAAGGAGTGTTTGCCTCTGGGAAGGGAGGGAGGAAGGGGAATGGGGCCAGGAAATAGAGCAAAAGGGATCTGAACTAAATCTGTGATGTTTTATTCCTTTAAAATATACAACTTAAGCCGATGTGCCAAAATATCAATGTTTCTTTATCTAGTTGGTAGGGCATAGGTATTTGTTATACTACCCAGTGTAATACTATTTTTGATAATTTTCAACAATTTTTTAATTTTTAAAGCGGTAACTGGAGGCAGGGTGCATATGAATTGAGATCAGAGAACAGAGATTGGTGACCAGTTGGGATACTATTGCAGGTCTCTAGCTGAGAGATGTTGAGGGCCAGAACTCTGTCTTAGCTGTGGAGATGGGAAGGAGTCTAGGTCTAGGACAAAGGCATCAGAAATGAGGCAAGGTTTTTTTTTTTTTTTTCTCATCAAAAGAAAACATCAACAAAATGAAAAGACAACCCACTGAATGGGAAAAGATATTTGCCAATGACACATCTGATAAGGGGTTGATATCCAAAATTTATAAAGAACTCATGCAACTCAACACCAAAAAACAAATAATCCAATTAAGAATGGGCAAAGGACCTGCATAGATAATTCTCCAGAGATGATATACAGGTGACCTACAGACATATGAAAAGATGCTCAATATCACTAATCATCAGAGAAACGCAAATTAAAACCACAATGAGATATCGCCTCACCCCTGTAAGAATGGGTATCATCACTAAAACAACGGACACCAAGTGTTAGCAAAGATGTGGAGAAAAGGGAACCCTGGTGCACTGCTGGTGGGAATGAGGATTGGTGCAGACACTATGGAAAACAGCTGGATCTGGCCTGTGGGCCGTAGTTTGCCTACAGCTGGGATAGAGCATTGGCCTGCAGACCAAAGGGTCCCGGGTTTGAATCCAGTCAAGGTCATGTACCTCGGTTGCAGGTTCCTCCCCAGCCCAGAACCTGGTCAGGGCTCGTGCAAGAGGCAACCAATCGATGTGTTTCTCTCTGTCTTTTCCTCTCTCTAAAAATCCGTGCAAAAAAATATCCTTGGTGAGGAATTAAAAAAAAAGAAAGAAAACAGTATGGGGGTTTCTCAAAAAAGCAAAAATGGAACTGCGTTATGACCCACTGATTCCACTTCTGGGTATATATTGGACGAAACCTGAAACACTGATTCGAAAATACATGCAGCCCTATGTTCACCGCAGCATTATTTACTATAGTTAAGCTATGGAAACAGCCCAAGTGCCCATCAGTAGATGAGTGGATTAAAAAGTGGTGGTACTTATGTACAATGGAACACTACTCAGCTATAAAAAGGAAGGGAATCTTACCTTTTGCAACAGCATGGATGAACCTGGAGAGTATTATGCTACGTGAATAAGTCAGTTAGAGAAAGACAAATACCATATGACTTCATTTATATGTGGAATCTAAGGAACAAAACAAACAAACACAATATAGAAACAGACTCACCGATACAAAGAACAGAGTGACGGTTGCCAGAGGGGAGAGGAATTGGGTTACTGGCTGAAAAACGTGAAGGGATTGAGAAGTACAGATTGGTACTTACAAAAGAGTCATGGGGAATATAGTCAATAATATTGTAATAACTATGTCTGGTGCCAACTGGGTTCTGGAAATATCAGGGGGAACAATTTGTAAAGTACCATATATGACTGCCTAACACTATGCTGTACACCTGAAATGAACACAATAATGTTGAATGTAAATTCTAGAAACATCGATCAGCTGCCTCCTGCACATCTCCTACTGGGGATGTGCCTGCAACCCAGGTACATGCCCTTGACCGGAATCGAACCTGGGACCTTTCAGTCCGCAGGCCGACGCTCTAGCCACTGAGCCAAACCGGTTTCGAATTGTAAATTCTAATTGAAAAAAAGTTTTTAATTGAGAAAAAATAGATGATGCAGGTTTCCTGCTTGGTTGACTGAGCTCTTGGTACTACCCTTAACAAGATACTAGTTAAGTATAATTTGCTGCTGTTTTGGATATTACACACAAAAACCTGTAAGACTCCGACCACCAACTAGAACACCTAGAATACAGGGCAAATGGTAATGGAAGCCGATCGTTAGAAATACTGCCCATCAGTCTGCAGAAAATCTTACAAGTTCATGAGATACTGGGTTCAGTATATGGTCTGGCTTTAAAGTAATGAGATAAATATCCCCAAACTCTTAGAAGAATGAAGCTCAACACGTTATAACCAAGCCGTACATGTCCTCACTGAGCGTGAAAAGGAAGGGCTGGATGGAGCACAGAGTGCTATTCGGGGAAGGAGTGGGCATGCAGTCACTTTACCTCGGTAATTCAGTGTGTTTTAATGTGAATAATATATTATTTCCCACACTAGAATAGATACATTATTGAGTAAACGTTGATTTAAAATAGTAAAAACAACAGTGTTTTCACTTAATGTCCGGGGCCTTTTCAAACCTTCTTCGAGGACTGATGGTCTAGCCAACCTGGGTTCCAGGGGAAGTCCATTTACTGAATGTCTGTGGCATTTAAAACAGGTAGATGGGCGATGGAATAAAATAGCCGGTCTAGCCCTGGCCCGTGTGGCTCAATAGGTTGGAGCGTCCTGCCACTCGCGGCCAGGTCAGCGCCCCGCCTCCCGCCCCGCCTCTTCCAGCCTCCTCCGGCCCAGCCTCCTCTGGCCCAGCCTCCTCGGCCCAGCTCCCTAGGCTCCAGCCTCAGCCTTTCTCACCTCCGCCATCCTCTCCGCTGCAGGCGGCCCCACGCCTCACCTCCTCCCTCCTCCTTCCCACACCTGGCCGTCCCGCTGGTTTCAGCGTTTCTGCTCCCAACGAATCACAAAAGGGCTTTCATCCAGGCTCAGCCAGATTCGCTAATCAGCGCCCCTCTTTCAACGTCCAGCTTCCCCTCATTTGCCTACGCTCGCCGTGGCTCCAGGCAGCGTGGTGGGCGGGCACGTCGCCCCCCGTTACTCCCTCCGATTGGTTGGAGACAGGCCGTTCCTGGGACCCGCCTTAAGCTCGATTGGGTAGAAGCAGTCTAGGCTCCGCGCACGCCCCACCACGCATTGTCTGTCAATCACACCATCCCCTAGGTAACCCGCGTGCTCATTAGCCAGTAGCGCCTGAGGGCGGGTTGTAAGTCGGGGAAGAGCTTCTTTCCCGCCACCGCTCGCTGTTACTAGGGGAGACTTCACCGTCTTGCGGAGGTGCGCAGGGTCCCGGCAACCCTTTCCTTCAGGTCCAAGTGCGGAGATAGGTACAGCCGTCTGGACATTAGTGTCTGTTTCGGGGTCTGAGGGGCACCTCAGTTCCTGAGCCAGTGGCGCGCCGGTGGGCAAAGCAGACGTGGCCTCAACAGGGGGGACAGGCCCGGTGATTGAGGGTCCTTCATGCTCGCGGAGAGAGCCGAGTACGGCGTGGTCGTTGTGATAGCACCATGTTTTCACGTAGTCTCCTCTCGCCTTATTTTATGTGGCCGTATTCTCCCGTTATTCGTATGATGTAGACTGTGGCGAGGCTCACTCTCCTCCCGGGACAGCACTGGGAGGAGAGGCCACGTCCAGTGGAGTGAATCTGTCATGGCCACACCTCCAGGCCTCCGTCCCCGGAGCTGGTACACGCTTTCAGCCAGCGGCTCTGAATCCAGCTGTGAACTGCATTGAAACTTGCCATGAGTTTGTCGCGAGGCTGTAACCAGTTAGACCCAAAGATCCATAAACCAGGCTAACTAACCAAAGGAAGTAGGACAGAGGATGCAGGCTCCATTGCCGAGCCCGGCAGGGAAAACAGAAAGCAAAAACAGGACCACATGCGAGAGCTCTAGGATTCGAACCCTCGACCGCACACACCGTTCTGAAATATCATTGCCCGCCCCGGCCCCATTCCCTCCCCCCCACTCCAGGCCTTCACAATAGTCTGTGCCCATGGGTTATGCATATTGACATACAGAGTTTTCGTTTATTCTCTTTCCACCCACCCATCCTCCCTCCCCTCTCTCTGAGATTCCACAGTCTGTTTCTGTTTGGATCTTTTAAGTGATCATTTTGTTCCTTCAACCAACCATATGATATCCCTCAAAGCCCGGTAATTCTTAACTTACTTTCTAAGAAAGTGGCTACTACACTTACTTTTTAAATGCCTACATTCAAAATTCAAAGACATGATGTTTGCAAACCACTTTATGAAGCCAAATAATGTATGTATTATGAGTTTCTAGGGTCTAGAAATTCATTTTAAATTTATATCATTTATGCTTGGTTTACTACATTTAAAGGAAAATGTTCAGAAAAACCATCACTTTCTTTCCATTCTATGACTTTTTAAAAATTAAAATTTATTGAATTTATTGGGGGGCCTTTGTCCC